TAGGGTGAGGGGTTTAGGGCGCTTGTGCAACATCGATTGTATGTTGTAGTGGCACACGGTCGGCACGGAGGGCAAGAGGAGAGAGCGAGAGAGAGAGGAGGATAGAGTAAGAGAGACACACAGAGCGGGGGAGAGACAGACGGTGATTGACACTTCGACACAAAAAGGACGTAAAGAGAGAAAGAGAAACTGCGAGACAAAGAGACAGGGGATAAGTCAGGGTCCCGTGTTGCCAAGACTGAAGATTCAAGCCGGAATCCCTACATCCTCAAATTTGTCTCGTTACCCAGAACGCCATACCCGTGTCATGCTGCTGGAGTATGTGGTTGAGACATCATGCTTAACAACGAAGACTCATGACCAGAAGCATCCTCCTGATCATAATCAGGGCACCTGTCATCGTCGTCATCATCACCAGCATCGTCATCGTCATCATCCATAAAACCGTACCGTCGCCATCTTGTTCATCACAGTCTCCACCACAAATCCATCATAGTTATCACCAACATCGTCTTCATGCCTATCTTCGTCATAACCATCTACGTCATCCCAATCGTCCTCAGCCTGAACAAGAAACTGAAATAGTGGGAGCATATTGGGATCCTAGCTGTCGCTCGTACTCGTGCAAGACAACAAGCGCCCAGCCTACAGCTTGCTCCTCTGCGTTCTCGCTGTCTACGTACTCCTGGCTCTCCTCGCCGTCCACGAGATCGCCTGGGCGCGATGCGCTTCTGTGTGACTCAGGAATTGAAATTCCAAGCTTAGGGCGTATGGTAGACCCTGATAACGTTTCAAGGTTTAGGGTGTACGGTAGACCCTGAAAGCGTTGCAAGGTTTAGGGTCTACGGCGAATTAGGGCGTCAAGTTTGGACGTTAAGGCTTTTACGGGTTCACGGTTTAGGGCTTATTGATAGATATGATTGTACATGTAAATATGCATACATATATATATATATGTATATGTATATGTATATGTATGTGGCCGTTATTTGCTGAGGGCATGGCCGTTCGTCGCAGGATCCGCAGACTGCGAGTGTGCACCGACGCTATCCTCGAGCTCCCGCTGCGCTTCCTCTTCCGAGGGATCGCCTGAGCGAGGATTCATGGCTCAGGAGTTTGGGCTTCTGGGGTTTAGGGCGCTTGTGCAACATCGATTGCATGTTGTAGTGATTGTAGTGGCACACGGTCGGCACGGAGGGCAAGAGGAGAGAGCGAGAGAGAGAGGAGGATAGAGTGAGAGAGACACACAGAGCGGGGGAGAGACAGACGGTGATTGACACTTCGACACAAAAAGGACGTAAAGAGAGAAAGAGAAACTGCGAGACAAAGACAAAGAGACAGGGGATGAGTCAGGGTCCCGTGTTGCCAAGACTGAAGAATCAAGCCGGAATCCCTACATCCTCAAATTTGTCTCGCTACCCAGAACGCCATACCCGTGCCATGCTGCCGGAGTATGTGGTTGAGACATCATGCTTAAAAACAAGAGTCATGACCAGAAGCATCCTCCTGATCATAGTCAGGGCACCTGTCATCGTCATCATCATCGTCATCTTCATCGTTACCATCATCAACAGCATCATCATCGTCATCGTCATCATATTCACCTTCATCACCAGAATCATCATCATCATGCTGACAACCTTATCGTCGCCCCCTGATCATCGCAGTCAACACCACAAAATCATCATCGCAATCACCAACATCGTCTTCATGCCTATCTTCGTCAAAACCATCTACATCATCCCAAGCGTCCTCAAACCTGAACAAGAAACTGAAATAGTGGGAGCATATTGGGATCCTAGCTGTCCCTCTTACTCCTGCAAGACGACAAGCGCCCAGCCTACAGCTTGCTCCTCTGCGTTCTCGCTGTCTACGTACTCCTGGCTCTCCTCGGCGTCCACGAGATCGCCTGGGTGCGATGCGATTCTGTGCGACTCAGGACTTGGAATTCCCTGAAAAACGTTGCAAGGTTTATTGGAGTCTAAAGTGAATTAGGGTGTCAAGTTTGGTCTTTAGGGCTTCCAGGGGTTCAGGGTTTAGGACTTATTAATTGATATGCTCATATATATACATATATATACGCATATACATACGTATATATATATATATAAATTATACCAGCCTCGACCCCAAACAGCAATTGAGAAGTACCGACTGCGATACCAGACGGGCATTAGAGCATCCAGAATATGGGAGACAAATGGGAGACACATGAGTAGCGATTTTTAGAGTAGTGCCGTGAGAA